AGGAAGGATGGGGGAAAGGGTGGTGATTTCCTTAGTATTCTGCCAAGCTCTGTTCTTACATTCCCTAATAGTTCTCTGGCATTTCCACTACAAGATGGCACACTGAGCACATGTTGCAATCTCCCCTTCCTGCCCCAGATCCTTAGAAATAATAAAAAGGTTTTAATAAAAATCCAGAACCAGGCATGAAAATAAGTGGCACACTAGAAACTCAGGACTGCCTGGTACCACAGGACTGAAGAAGGAAACCACTGCTGAAAACTGCTTTTCAAAAATGAAAGACATGAGGGTAGTGGATACCAAGAGCAGGAGGGGCCCTGAAGTAAATGCCAGCAGGATATGTTGGGCTCTTGCAAGATGAGTAATCACAAAACTGGTGTCCAAGTCTGCAACCTTGCCTTGAACGCCCAGGTCAAGAAACGGGTATGGGTCTGAGAACCCCCGCAGTGGCCAGAGGGCTGACAACATCCAGGCAGATCAGGGAGGCCCCAAGCCCAGAATATTAGCCACTGGCATATCTACCTGGCAGCCCTTCCAGCTCCAGCCCCACCTCACCTAAGAAGAGCTATCCGTGGCCCTTAGCTGAGCAGCACGTACACCCCTCTCCCTCACCAGCAGACGGCAATAAAAGAGCATCCCTGATCAGGATGACAGAGAATCTCAAAGCCAAAAATGAGCTTTCAGCTAGAAATCACTAAACACTGGAGGAATGCTAATGCCAAGAAAGAGTCACCATGCTCAACAAACCGAAGACCTGCTATCAGAGGACAAAGAAACAGAACAGGCAAATCAGAGCTTTAAAATACATATAATCTGTGGGCCTGGGTGGCTCAGTCGGTTGAGTGGCCGACACTTGATGTCAGCTCAGGTCATGATCTCAGAGTCATGGGACTGAGCCCCGAGCCGGCCCCACGCTCAGTGTAGTCGGCTTATTCTTCTCCCTCCTCCTCTCCGCTCCTCTCCCTGCTCCCTCTCCCCTCTAAAAGTAAATAAAATCTTTAAAAACAAATAAATAAATAATAAAATACATATAATCTATATTCCCTGAGAGATTTAAGAGGATATCATGCCTGTGAAAAAAAGAATCAACTAGAGATCCTGAAGATTAAAGTTGGATTGCTGAAATACAAATTCAACAGTTGGGCCAAATAGCAGAATGGGCACAACTGAAGAATATATTAAAACAGTAAGACTGAGTTGAGGAATTCAGCCTGAAAAGGGGAGGGGGGGGAAGATGCAAAGTATGAAGGAAAAATTAAGAAATATGGCAGCAGGGGCACCTGGGTGGCTTAGTCAGTTAAGCGTCCAAGTCTTGATTTTGGCTCAAGTCATGATCTCAGGGTTGTGAGATCAAGCCCCATGTTGGGCTCTGCACTGGGCATTGGAGCCTGCTTAAGATTGTCTCTCGCCCTCTCCCTCTGCCTCACCCCCTCTTCCTCCTGAAAGAAAGAAAGGAAGGAAAGAAAGATAGATGGCAGATCTAAAAGTTCCAATATTCACGCAATAGGAATTCCACAAAGAGAGAGTACAGAGAACAAAGCATAGAAACTACTCAAAGAAACAGAAGAAAATGATTTCTCAGAACTTAAGAAACTCATGAGTCTTCCGATTGAAGATATGGTAAGTACAGAGCAACATAAAGGACAAGAGACCTATATCCTAGCAAAATTCCTGACCAGCCCCCTTCCCCAACCCCAAATGCTTCCAGAGCAAAATAAAAATCAAATGAAAATAGATTATCTTATAAAGGAGTAAGAATCAGATTGACCAGATTTTTTTAAAAAATATTTTATTTGTTTATTTGTCAGAGAGAGAGAGAGCACAAACAGGGGGAGCAGCAAAGGGAGAAGCAGGCTCCCCGCTGAGCAAGGAGCCTGATGCGGGACTCGATCCCAGGACCCTGGGATCATGACCCAAGCTGAAGGCAGATGCTTAACCGATGAGCCACCCAGGCATCCCATATTGACCAGATTTTTAACAGGCAACAAGAAATGCCAGACAATAGATTTGCTTCGTCTATCATACAACAGCCAATGCGTAGAAACAATCTGTGTGTCCATAATGGATGAACAAAATGTAATGTGTGTGTGTGTGTGTGTGTGTGTGTGTGTGTGTGTTTGTGTGCATACACAATGAAATATTCAGCCTTAAAAAGGAATGAAATTCTGATACATTCTACAACATGGATGAACCTTGAAATACTGTACTAAGTAAAATAAGCCAGACATAGAAGAAAAAATATTGTATGATTCCATTTATATGAGGTAGCTACACTAGCCAAATCACAGAAACATAAAATAGAACACAGCTTCCCAGAGGTGGGAAAGGAGGTAATGGGAGTTATTCTTTAATGGGTAAGAGTTTCTGTTTAGGGTAATGAAAAAGTTTTAGAAATAGAAGTGGTGATGGTTGTATAATATTGTGAATATACTTAATGCCATTGAGTTGCACACTTGAAAATTACTGATATGGTAAATTTTATGTATATATTAACACAATTTAAACAAAAGAAAAAAAAAGAAGAAACCTGAGACCAATTAATTACCATGGAAGAAATCTTAGTGAGAGTCAAAGATCTGCCTTTAAGAGAGGTAACACACCCAGATGGTTTTACAGGCGAGATCTACCAGCTCTGACAATGTATTAACATCCAGAATATATAGAAGCAATAAGAAAGGAATAAATAACTCAATAGACAAAAAGGTGATTATAAACAGGCATTTCAGAGGAAATGCAAATGGCCAATAATCAAAAGAAAACTAGTCTCAGTAGTCACCAGGGAAATGGAAATGAAAGGAACACGATGCTGTTTTTCATCCACCAGTTAAATAAAAAAGGAAAACTGACAAGAAAATATAAAGCATTGCTGAAGGTACGGCGAAGTGGGTACTCACATACTGTGCAGATGGTACTATAAAACAGCTAAAACCTCTTGGGAGGGCAAATGGGCAGTGGTTATTAAAATTTTAATTGCACTTTACCCATGACCCAGAATCTATCTTAGGGAAGTATTTATAGATGTGCGAAAAGGTATAGCTTTTTAAAAATTAGAGGCAAACAATCTAGTGATATGAAAATGGTTAAATAATCTGTGGTATGTTATACTACGGAATTCCAGGCATCAATTAAAAAAAACGAGGTAGGGCGCCTGGGTGGCTCAGTCGGTTAAGCATCTGCCTTTGGCTCAGGTCATGATCCCAGGGGCCTGGATCGAGTCCCACATGGGGCTCCCTCCTCAGTGGGGAGTCTACCTTTCTCTCTGCCCCTCCCCCAATTTGTGCTCTCTCTCTCTCTCACACGGCGTGCACTCCCTCTCTCTCGCAAAAATATATAAATAAAATCTTAAAAAAATAAAATCAAAAAAATTTAAAAAATAACAAAAAGAATTAGGTCGGTCTGTACATATCAATGTAGAAAAATCTCTAAAATACATCGCGAGTTAAAACCAAAAAGTAAGTTTCAGAACGAAGCATATGGTGTGAAACGATTTACTTAAAACCAAACAAACCAAAACCACAAACTGAAACTATAGATTTCTGTAAATCACAGATAAAAATCGAGAGGAATCCATATTAAATTGATCATAGTCACTACCGTCACTGCCTGTATAGGTAGCACTAGGATCTCAGGGAGAGCTAAAGGGGACTTCAGTTCCATCTGTATATATGACTTTTTTAAAAATAAAGAAAATGTATACCTCTATTACATAATTACTTACATGATTAAAAATACAGAAACTTAAGGAAAAAGGATTGTAGTAATCAGGCCTGATTAAGAAGACAGAAATGCTGTTAAGAGCCAGCCCCTTTGTCTCTTCTTTGTTCAAGAAAGGTCAGGATTCGTCAATTGTGATCATCTCTGCCTCCTCAGTATTCTCTCTGCTGCTATTTCTAATAGAAAAGACACTGAAGGGCGCCTGGGTGGCTCAGATGGTTAAGCGTCTGCCTTCGGCTCAGGTCATGATCCCAGGGTCCTGGGATCGAGTCCCGCATCGGGCTCCCTGCTCCTTGGGAGCCTGCTTCTCCCTCTGCTTCTCTCTCTTTCTCTGTCTCTCATGAATAAATAAAATCTTTAAAAAAAAAAAGAAAAGAAAAGACACTGAATTCACTCCCCTCTTATTCTCCTTTTGAATCTGAATCTTCCTTCTAAGCATCAGGCTTTCTTTCTATGACTCTGAATGTGGGATTCAAAGTCGACAGAGGTAGGAAGAAGAGGCTAACTCATCGTTTTGTCACATCTTAAGTTCTAGTGGCAAATGAGACTTTCCAAAAACAGCCACAGCAGTATAGCCCATCCCACATGCTCTTTTCATCAATGGGACTTTGACATTCCTCCCACTGAAGGCGTAGGGGAGACTACGTTCCTTCCTCTCTAATCCTGGCTGCCTTGTGATGACGGGAGTGACACTACGTGATTTCCAAGGCCTAGTTCTCTTGGGAGGCTCATTCTTGGGACCCAGCCACCTCACCGTGAGGAAGACCAAGCAGCCCATGGAAGACAACTCAACTGAGCTCCCAGCGGACAACAAGCACCAACTTGCCAGCCATGAGAGTGAGCCATGGATCCCTCAGGCCCCTCCTGACCCACCTGAGCCGATGCTGCATGGAGCAGAGGTGAGCTGTTCCTGCCGAGGCAGGTTAAATTACATGAGTGAAACACCTGTTGTTATAAGCCTTACTAAGTGTGGTGGTGGCCTGTCACAAGGAAAGAGACAACAGGAACAGTTTCCCTCACAAATGTGGACAACTCTTAACTCACCAGCTGCCCCTCCAGTGATGCCAGGCCAGCAACTATCGGACAGAGACTGCTTTAGAAGACATGGTAAGGAGCTGGAAAGGGGTGGAGTAGACATCTATATCCCACAGAGTTACATCAGATGACATCTGAGGGTCCTTCTTACAAGAAGATTCTGCAGTGAACATACTGAGCTAAGTGCTGAAGCGCATCCTAGTGCCATCTTTTCCCAAAGGAGAAGACTGCCTTCTCCAATGACCTTTTACCTTTCAGAAAGCTGCCGGATCTGTGGAATTCCCATATACTTGTAGAAGTGCTCCAGAACATTCATCACACCTTGAAGAAGGTTAGCAACTTCTCCATACTGTCTTCGCCTGGTCATGGCTCTGCAAGGGAATAAGAAGCTGAGAATCTAGAAAAACATGAAGGACACAAGATACAGATGTGGAAAAACCCACTCTGAGCTACAAAACAGACGTCAACTCGATGTAACCATTTACTGAGCACTGAGTATATATGGGCTTGCACACTAGAGGTTAAAAAAAAAAAAAAAAACAGACCTAGCCAAAATCGTCAAAGTGACATTGCTCAGTAAGAGAGACAGAGCCAAGTACACATCTGATACCAAGTGGGATAAACTGAGTTCTAAACAGAAACACACATTATGTGTTATGAAAGGTACAAAAGAATGTGTGGGTGATGGATTCTCGTTGGATGGGGGTAGGGAATCTGCGAAGACTATGGATTTGCGCTGGGTATTATGGGATTAGCAGACTTTTAACAGAAAACAGGGATAGGAATGTTACTGTCTGAGGATTATAGCATATGGGCAAACCAAACACATCTTCCCACGATACAACAAAGGGCATTTATATGTTAACTCAAATCTGGAGGTTTTAAGCCAATGTTAAGTAACTGTTCCAAATATGTCTACTTTCCCTATTACTAAGGTTAATGAAGTTTAAATAAAAGGATACTAATAAAAGCAACAGTTACACACACAAGGAAGGTCAAATTATTAGATCTAAATTTTTTATTAGAGTTGGGCTTTTAAATTAAATGTATAATATATGACTTCCCTTAAGAGGCATTAAAAAAAAAAGAGGCATTTAAGAAGACAGTACCAGGTTCAAACCAATGTGTTCGGGTGCTAATGCAGCCTGGTCTGATAGTCTGGTGGGAAGGAACATCTGGAGCATCTGGAGCAAGGAACAAGGAAACTGCTCTTCTAGCCTCCCACTGGCTGGCTCATATCTCTGATCACTACTTGCAGGAGGACAGACTAGGGTTTGCTGGAGCTCATACAATGCCCGGAGAGACCAGGAAGGGTCTGACCCTGTCCTCCCAGCTTCAGATGATGCATCTAAATTTCTATGAAGATGTTCTTTCTCTGTCTACATATGAGACACTACTGAAGCTGGGGCAGGGGGAATTCTCAGCCGTGTTAGAATCTTGCTAGTAAAAGAGGCATTTGGATTGCTTCTTGTGGTAAATAACCAGCTCTTCCTTTTAATACTACTTCTAATGTCCTCATGCATCATTCCCTACAGCTCCTCTATAAACCAAACAGGATGCTACAGTCTTTGAAAAAGTGGGTTGAAAAAAAAGTGGGATGAATGATAAATCAAGACTTTCTTTATTTCTTGCTTGCTTGCTTTCTTGCTTTCTCTCTCTCTTTTTTAAAGCCCTATTTCTATACAGAACATCCAACGTACTGCAACTAAGCCCAACACAAGCAGGAAAACTTGCCAAGGCAGGGGCTACAGGGAGAGATTATGGTCCTGAATGACCTTGCTGGCCTTAATGGTAGAGATCTACCACATTTAAACGAGCCGTATTCTTGGAATCATCCTCCACATGCTATCTGGGTCCTTTCCACACTCACTTGCAAACTCACTTCCAACTTTCAGGTGTTTGTTACATTTTGAACACCAGAGGGCACAAAGCCAAATGGTAACTAAACACTTGAGACCAATTTGCAGAAAAGTGGGGCAGAATAGCGAGCCTTCCCTGGCTGAGGAGTAAAATACCTATGATGCCATGTTCTTTACATGGCACGTTCATTTCCTGTGGACCCCAAAGAGAAAGCTGACGCTGCTTACTCGAGGGAATCCACGCCACCTGCTAACATGTGCAGGTGGTTCAGCGTTGTGATTGAGGTGGTCAGGTGGCGTTTGGCATGATCTAGCTGCTTAATATCGCGGGTGATTTCTTTAACCTAAGTAGTGAAAAACCACAGGAGAAAAAGGAAGGTTAAGAAAGATGTAAATCCATTTGCAAGTAGCTCCACAAGAAAATAAGGCAAATGAAGCAAGGAAAAAACCCTCAGGTTAGCTCCAGGAGAAAACACGTACATTCTCATCACATATAAAATCAAAATACCTTCCAATCAGTCCATTTAAATTTCATTTGGCATTTCTTCAGAAGGCTTTACCCAGGGGTACAAAATCTTCAACTGTGAGAACAAAATGAACTTTATTTTTCACCCCAAATGGAGTGATCCAAATAGCAATTTAGTATGGAGCTTACAGGGTCCAGGAGCCAAGTTTGGCACATCTCCTCTTGAACAAGGTCAGAAAAGTATGCCTTCTGATGGGGGGCTACTAGGTTCGACACAAAATGGACAGTATTAGTCGGCTAATTCTGTTGAATCGATCTTTATTCATGGAACTAGGGTTTACTGCCCGATCCCCAGCAAGGAAAGACTTGCTCTCAAATCTCAAGAAGACTAAAATAACATAACATATGCCTAACATGTACTGTCACAGAGGAGATGTGAAGTTGTCAGGAGCAAGAAGATAATGGGGGAAGTAAAATTCAGACAGTGTTGACCCAGTAGATCCAAGAGAAATAAACTCTGTACCTGGAATACAAGTATATTTCAGTCACTAGAAAAGCGCATTCAGTAATGAAGTGGGAACAATTCTCCAACTTTACTAACATTTAGGTAGAATGTTCCACTGAACTGCCTGAGTTTATGTTGACCAAGAAACTTTCTGAAGAGCAATTTGGTTTCCTGGGTTCTCTGATGCCTGGAAGGAAGAGAGTGCCCTGGACACTAGGCACAAATATTCTAGTCACTGGAAAGACCTATCTCCCATTAAAAGTGAAAAACTTGGTGGTGAGTTAAGTTCACATGATCTGGTTTTTCAGAGTTTGATCACCCCGGGTGAACCCATAAAGTAAAGATTATGACCCTCACAGCTTCGTTCCACACCCACAAGCCTGCTAAGCTGACCTGGATCCTGGCAGTAAAAGTCTCTCTCACGGGGAATTCCCCATTGAGCCCACTCTCCCTGTAATTCTCAGGCCATCAAAATCTTTATTTCTATTCCCTGGGGGTGGGGGTAGGGGGGTGGGAATAGGTTAAGAACTTCTTCATGGAGTAACTGAGCTTAGGGAAAAACAAGAACAGGTGTGGTACAGTGAACTAGTACAGGAGTTTGGTCCTAGAATCTGATAACCCACTTCCAACACTGAAATCATCACCCTCTTCTCTACAAAAAAATCCCTGCACCTCTTCTGAGCTTCCTTAGCTCCAGCGCTAACATCAGGAGCCTTAACTATTGCATGAAAAGTCACAGCCACCTGTGACTCTACTCATTCCTACATTATTAGTTAGCCACTAAATCCTGAATGTTCTTCCTGTGTCTCATCACAAAAACTGTCCCTTTCTTCTCATCCTTCAGGCCCTCCCTGGAGCTCTGCACCAGAAGTGACTGGTCTCTCCATTCCCAGTACCTCCCATCCCCCCATCACATATCCTGTGCTTCCCTAGACAAATCGAGCTCAGGCAAAGGATTCTCAGGTCAAAGTCACAGAGATCATTATACAAATAGGATACCCGTAGTTAATGTACCTTAACTGTTAGCCAGGGACAGCCAAAAAACGACAGAACATGACATGGCAGGTTTTGGAGTTAGGCAGCTCTAGGGTTGAATCTCAGCTCTTCCACTCACCAACTCTGTCCTAGAATAAGCTCCTTAGCCTCACTGAGTCTCAGTTTCCTCATCTGTAAGATGAGTCATCATAGAGGCACCTGGGTGGCTCAGTCAGTTAAAGCACCTGCCTTCGGCTCAGGTCGTGATCCCAGGGTCCTGCGATCGAGCCCTGCATTGGCCTCCCTGCTCAGCGGGGAGACTGTTTCTCCCTCTCCCTCTGCCCCTCCCGCCCTGCTCATGGTCTTTCTCTCAAATAAATAAATCTTTTTTTTTTAAATGACTTTATTTATTTGAGAGAAAGAGAGAAAGCATGAGCAGGGGGAGGGAGAAGCAGGTGTGAGAGCTAAATTAGATTACTTATATAAAAGGTATCTATGGCACAGTATTTGGCACATTGGAGGAGCACAACAATTATCAGTTCTCTCTTCAGTCCTACCTCTTCTTCCCTTTAGCAAAGCGCTAGCCAGGAGAGCAAACTGCTTTAAAATAAAACATCTCCTAACTTTCATGATTCGACGGCCTATGGATGGTGCTGAGGCAGTGCATCCTTGGGGAAAGAACCACAAATCCAAATCCCTCTCTGATGACATACAGCCTCCTCTCAAAGACTATTTAATTCTGTGACAAAGCACAGATATTAGTATTTTTCCTCTGATGAAAGGGTTCTGTTCCTCTGACCCCTCATTTGGCAGTGAAGGCCCATAACGCTGCCTGCCTGGAAAGAAGAACAGGAAGCGCTAACGGTAAGGACAGCGACGACCGATTCTGACTCAGGGGCTGTGGCTGTCACACACGATCTCATTTAGTCCCCACAATTCTATGATGTACCCAGACTATTATCTCCATTCTACAGTGATGAAACCAAGGCACAGATGGGTTCAATAACTTGCCACAGTTAGTAAGTAGAGGGGCTGGATCCCAACGCAGGCAGCCTGTCTGCAGAGGTCATGCTCTCCACTATTCAGTCAAGCTGCCCGTCCCCCTCCACTCCATATCCTTCCCTATTGTGCCAAATGGCCACTGAAGAGAGCTGCAGCATACACAGAAATGTGACATCAGCTCTGTTCCTGTAGTGAATCAGAAGAGGATATAGGGCGAGAAGACGGTAAGGATTTGGGAGTTTTTGTAACCAAAAGTAGGGGGGAAAATGACATTAGTAACGACTTCAGTCACAAGCCTAGTACTATGCTCAGTGCCCCTCATACATTTAATTCTTCAACAATCCTTTAAGGCAGGTGTGATTGTTCTTATCTTACAGTTGAAGAAACTCGAATTCAGAGACAATTCAGAGACATGACATTACGTGGTCAGAATGTGAACACAGGAGCTAACGTTTTATAGTGAATCCCCCCTCCCCCCATGGAGTAGGAGTGGGGAAGGCTGGATTCTTGGTGAGCAGGGAGGCCTCCTGAGTACATCACCGGGGAACACAAATCTGTCAAGGGGGAACTTAATCAAAACCATAAGCACGTATCGTGGCAGGAGACGTCCTCCCTCCCAGATCCTGTACCAGTTTTCACGCTATACCAAGTTACATATCATATATCTTAACTGAGAAATACATGATATATACAAATGCCAGAGAAAGGAATCCAAAATGACTAGAAAACTATTTTTGGGAAAGAAGAAGGAAACTTTTCCTATTTAAAAACAGGGCTGCAAATGTAGGGCAGCAGGGATGGTGAGTCACGGCATGTCTAGCAGCTCCTCTTGAATCGATCTGGAATGTTCTCAACAGGGCTTGCTTTAGAGATGTGGGTGCTGTGGTTGGCAGCGAGTGGGAGAAAAAGCCCAGTAATTAGTATGACTGGACAAGAACCTAACTTCCTCTTCAAGTGCAAAAAAGTTAGGAAGAAACCTAAACTCACCATTTGCTCTGATTTTTCTGCTTTGTCTTTGATATCTTTGATTTTGCCAAAGAGTTGCTGAATAGCTTTCTGGGCCTCTTCAAGTGCCTAGAATAAGAGAAAGACATGACAAACAAGCAACACAAGACAGCACCAGTCACTACACTATAATCGAGTCTAGTTTCGGAAGAAAACTACCATAAAGCTCTCTTGATTCATTGTACTTATGTAGACAATTTTACTGCGCCAAAGTAGTAGACAGACTCTAGGATGTGGATACAGGCAAATAAACAGGATTCTTGCCAACCTGAATCATAAAGTTTTAATTTAAAAACGATCTCCCTCCAGCTCCGGGATTACATGTTTTAAAAAAAATTTTCCTTTTATTATTTATTAAATTCAATTAATTAACATATAGTGTATTATTAGTTTCAGATGTACAGTTCAGTGATTCATCAGTTGCATATAACACCCAGTGCTCATTACATCACGTGCCCTCCTTAATGCCCATCACCCAGTGATGCCCATCTCCCCACCTCCCGCCCCTCCAGCAACCCTCAGTTTATTTCTTATAGTTAAGAGTGTCTTATGGTTTGTCTCCCTCTCTGATTTCATCTTATTTTATTCTTCCCTCCCTTAGAGATTACTACGTTACTGATAACATATAAACAAAACATGCACATTTGTGCCTTTTTGTTTGTATGTACATGCACACATCCATAATAACCGTCAAAGCTTGTAGAGAGACACAGGTGGCTATAAGTTGGGAGAAACTCTGAATTTAGAAAGTTCTAGAAGGGTGTACTTTCAACAAAATGAACTGTACATGGGGATTCCAGGACTGTGGCAAACCTTAAAGACATTTCTAGTACCCCGTTTGGAAACCTAGGACATGAAGTTAGAAAAGGACACTTAAAGCTAACAGTGAGCCAAATGTTTCTACTGAAAAACCTAGAAGATGGATGCCACACAAGAAAAGCATGATAAGCCACGATAGCTTCTGTGAGTAGGAGAAGCGATATTTTGGGAGCTGTCAGGGTGCTAAAATCACACATGTGCAAGACATATGTACTTAGAAAAGATGCAGCAGTCAGAAGAAGAACTCATTCTGCATTTCATCAAACACACTTTATTGATGTTGGATTGAAGAGTGGTTTGTCCTACCCGGGCCTCACAAGCCCTCTCTGAAGGCAATGATAAGGCCAGTGTAAGCCTAGAGCTGTGTGTGGCCCTCTCAGCCTGCACAGGGAAACAGCCAGCCTCCCTGAGAGCTTCCCACAGAGGGAAGAGGAAAGCAGAGCCGAGATGAAGGGAGGACAGAAGCCCTGACAGAATGATTTGGACTTCTGTGTTCAGCTATACCCAATGAAAATGCCTCTAGATCCTGAACTCAACTCATACGTCTTTTGTACTTTAAAAAACATCCCCAAAAAGCAAACTCGGGCTAGCTTCCTCTGCAGCAAATTCCTTCCTTGCTGGAGGCAGGGCTTGTGTCTTCCTTTCCTTCATAGGTTTCCCGGGCTGTCCACTTCTTCTGATACTGGGAATCCTTGCTGCTTTTGGAGTTCCTTGCCCTGTGTGTGGCTCAATCGCAAACAGTTGTTTCACACGCTGAGCTGTTGCACGTGATTGTGTTACGGCCTCTAAAATGCATGTCCAGGGGCGCCTGGGTGGTTCAGTCATTAAGCGCCTGCCTTCGGCTCAGGTCATGATCCCAGAGTCCTGGGATCGAGCCCCGCATCGGGCTCCCTGCTCCACGGGAAGTCTGCTTCTCCCTCTCCCACTCTCCCTGCTTATGTTCCCCCTCTCGCTGGGTCTCTCTGTCAAAATAAATAAATTAGATCTCTAAAATAAATAAATAAAATAAAATAAAATAAAATAAAATAAAATAAAATGCATGTCCAGAAGGTCCTCTGAGAAGCCATTCCTTGAGCCCATTGTGGCCAAGTCTGAGGGTACACTATTCCGGGTGCGGCTTGCACCCCCTCCTTGGGCAGGCCAGGTCAGTGTGTGTTTTCTCTGCTGGATCGCTTCATTTGTATCTACAAAGGTTTGTGAGCAAAGGAGCTTTTATACTTGTGATTTCTGCCACCTGGGCACAGGATTTTAATCACCAGAAAGTCTGGTCTTTGAACAACAGCTGGCATTGCTATCAGATCCAAAAATTCCTAACTTGGGAAATGTTACCGAAAAAGCAGGAAACAATCGAAAGACAAGATGGAATGGAAATGGGTCGCAATGAGCAGCTCCTCTTAATCCCATTCTGCCCCAAGAGGATGCCTCACTCGGCAACCTTCCCTCCTGGTTTCTTGCCATCCTGCTTTCTCATTGTAGGATTCAGCTCCCCGAATCAGCTGTGGTGGTGTGAGGAAGCCCTGTATTTTCCAGCCAGCAGGCAGCAGTGAGGCCCGCCTCTGCTGTCTCACTCTGTGTGCACGCTCTCTGGGTATCCGCTCCCTCATTTGCAAAGTGATGATGATGGCACCTATTTCCATGGTTCTGGGGAAGATTCAATGACATGACAGGTGTAAAAAACTGCACAAGTATTAGGTTTATTTCCAGGGTTGAGGACCATCCAAGCAAACGCATGCCTGCATCTCTGCATAGACACACAGAGACATGCATATATAATGTCACAGAGACATGCATATATAATGTCCCCTTGACCATACCTTTCCCTCTCAGCACGACCACGAGGCCTGCCCACTCTCTGATGCTTCCTACCCTAAACCACTCCCTGAGTGAACCCTCGTCCACTCATTCCACCTCCCCGTCCCCCCAAGAATTCTCTTCTTTATTTCTAATATTCACCTCCTCAAAACCAGCATACAAGCTAGATTCTCTTGAGCGCTGCTTACTACCATCCCACCCAACTTCAGATTTCCTAAGATTATGACAAACCAAGTTCTAACAAAATCTTTGAAAAGGATAAGAAGGAATAAAATATCAAATGTCCATTTACAACCAAAGGAGTGAAATTTCAAAATAAAACGTTCAACACAGCTACTGACAGTGTGCAAACCTTTGTTGTCTCCCATGGCCTAGTTCAAATGCCACTTCTTCCCCTTCCTTCCCAATACCTCTCCTATAAACATGCGGCACACAGTGGAATTAATTCATTCATCATCTGGGTGCCTCTGATCCTTTATGCATACTTAACATTTATAATAATTTTTTTGTGAATGTGTCTTTTGGTTGGACCATGACATTCCTAAAAGGCACGGACCGTATCTCATTCATTGTGATTTACTGGCACCGAAGGCAGCGCCTAGAATAATACAGTAGGTGCTCAATACATGTTTATTAAGTTGAATTTTAAAATCAAGCACAGTACACACACACCCGCTCCATCTTTACTCTCAGGATAGTCAGGCAACAAACACATTAGCCACAGTAGTTATGGCTGTGCCAGCATTTCAACTGAAGGCCTTCTTTCAAGCAACATAATTCAGTTTTGCAATCCTCCCATACTGAAAAATATACCGGGTTAATTAACCTAGGAAATGAGACAGGAAAATGTTTTAACTTGCCATGCTATCAAATTTTGTAAAACTGTAGCTAGAATAGTAAATTACTCATACACACACACACACACACACACACATATACTTCACAAATATGTGTATATATGTATATATAAAATTGCATCTACCTCAGAACCCTCCATATATTCCTCTCCTTTCCATTTAAGAAAGGCATTTTTCTTTTTTTTTAAGATTTTATTTATTTGACAGAGGGAGAGACAGCCAGAGAGGGAACACAAGCAGGGGGAGTGGGAGAGAGAGAAGCAGGCTCCCCGCTGAGCAGGGAGCCCGATGCGGGGCTTGATCCCAGGACCCTGGGATCCAGACCTAAGCTGAAGGCAGATGCCTAACGACTGAACCACGCAGGCGCCCCAAGAAAGGCATTTTTCTATGATTGTCTTTGAATAAACTATATTTTTAGATTATTTCAGATATCTGTAAATACTAGATTATAATTTTTCCTTCTGAAATAATTGCTAAATCATTGTCTTTTGGCCATGCTGCTCAGGAACTAAAACAAATTTTAATATCCACTTTACTCAATCAACAAACACCATACTAGAGATGCAGGGATAAAAAATGTAATTCCTGCTCTCAAGGAGTTTATCCCTAATAAGGCAAATAGAATAACAAACAGTAAAAACATTGAGACATGATAATGATATGTTCAGAATGTTGTGGGAGCCCAGAGAGCCCACTGCCAACACTGGCTTCGTTTGTTCGTTTGGTAGGAAGAGAGAAAGAGAAGGAAGGAAGGCCCACAAATTCATCCTGAAGAAGATCACAACTTTACACGCTACCATTTAGGCCAGAATGTTTTACAATAATAGCAGTACGAGTAGTGAGTACCTTAAAAATGCTATTTTTCAAATCTATATTCTATCACAAATTCTCACTTTCCAGCCGCGCAGACCCTCGCTATCTTCACTGTCACTGACTGAAGACAACCTGTATCTGAATTGTTACTCTGAATTCCTGTGGCAGTTATAGTCCCAACTGCATTAGTCAGCATTTCATTAATTCATTTCTTCTATCATTCAACAAATATTTATTTATTTTTAAAAGATTTTTTTAAAAGATTTTATTTATTTATTTGACAGAGAGATAGAGAGAGTACAAGTAGGCAGAGAGGCAGGCAGAGGGAGAGGGAGAAGCAGGCTCCCCGCTGAGCAGGGAGCCCGATGTGGGGCTCAATCCCAGGACCCTTAGATCATGACCTGAACCGAAGGCAGCCGCTTAACCGACTGAGCCACCCAGGTTCCCCTTAAAAGATTTTATTTGAGAGAGAGAGAGAGCACAAGCAGGGGGAGGAGCAGAGGGAGAGGGAGAAGCAGAATCCCCGTTGAGCAAGGAGCCGATGTAGGGCTCGATCCCAGGACTCTGGGACCATGACCTGAGCCAAAGGCAGATGCTGAACCGCCTCAGCCACCCAGGTGCCCCATCAATAAATATTTATTGAACATCTTCCATGTACCAGATATTCCTCTAAGCACTGAAAATCCAATGGCAGATGAGATAGACATGGTCCTTCTCCCTGTCCTCAAGGAACTTACTCCGAGAAGTGGCAGGTGGGGAGAGATACTG